AGCTCTTTTTGCTTCTCATGCAGCATGACACTGCCCTCTCGTGCTCGCAGGCCTGGTGGCAGCATGGCATTCCATGTGCTGCCTGGGATGCTCAACCACCTCCTGGCAGCGGTGGCTGCTGGAGCGACAGCAGCTCAGGCCAGCAGCAGTTGTTAGCCCAGTATCCTCTGGGCTCACGCTCGAGTTATAGCATGTTTCTTTGCAGAAGAATGCAATGCAGGAGTGTGACATACTTATCGCTTGCCTCTTCTAGGCAATTTACCTGCTTCTTACAATGCTATTTCTTAATATTCCTTGACAGACTTGTCCAGGAAATACCCCTTGTTTTGCAAGAGAAGTACATTCACCTGTCTGTGCTTTGTTACACTGACTTCTCAATCCAGCATGGGCGGAATAGGTAGCACTGAGCAGCCATGCATCTTTTGTTCACCTTGATTCCCCAAAGATACCATAATCTAATTTGTTTTGTCTGGGTATGATATTTTGCTGAATGAGTGTTCAGCTGCCAATCATCCATTTTTCTCTAAATGCCAGAGAGCTTCAGTTGCTTCATCAGCATTTGAAAGCCTTTGGCATTTTGGGGTCACTGGTTTGGACTTGCTGTCAGTGCTAATATTATTTGACTTTCAAAAGTAGATTTTAAGCCTTGTGCAAAGCTACATGTGGCCAAGATGTTTAACTGCAGTGTCTGTGGTTCATAAACCTCACCAACCAAAACCCAACAACTAATAGTAATGAAGCCCTAAATGGGGGTGATGTGTATACATGTAAACAAACACATCAGCTCTGTCTTTGAAAGCAATAAGTGAGCAGGTTTTCAGTCCAGCACCTGGGGCCAAAATAGCAAGACTATTTTTAACATGTTGCTTAAGCTAGAAGCAAGCCTTCCTAGTGAGAAGGCATTAGCCAGAAAAAAACATGCAAAGGTACAAAGATGAAACTAAAAAAAAAAAATTTGCTTAAAGCTGCGAATGCATCCCTGAATGTATTTGTGGACAGGTAGGGAACAATTTCTAAAAGGCTCCCAGATCCACTTTGAAGAGTATTTACATCTGTTTGGAAAGTCAAAGTAGCAGGGAATGAATAAATGGGCTGCTAAATACAGGAGGAAAAAAAAGGAATGACAAAATAGATGATTCTCAATGTCAGTTAAATATTAACTCATAAATGTCATCATTCCCCAGTGTCAGAAATGTCTACACTGGTTTTAGGTAGCAGTACCTTTCAAAAGTGTGTAACTTAAATGAGCGATTATTATGGCCTTCAGTTACATTTCAAAGTTTCCAGCAATAGCAGTTGTATGAAATACTGGAAAGTGATGCTGAAGAGCCCCTTGCTGTACTGGTTTGTGGCTTACGGGCATACACAATGGCAAACTTGGAAGCCTGTGCTTTATTATTTCACCGTTTCAGATACCTGCACCTCATTTCCAGAATGCAAATGGTGATTTGTGAGGCTGAGCCCACAGGGGAAGGGGATGTGGATATGAAACCTGTTTTCTCTTATTACTTACCCTCTCTGTTTTTGGTACCCCTGACCCCCACTTCCCATGTGGAGGGGTGGCTTAGCAATGGCAGCAATTCTGTAAAAATGCTTGGAGGAGATACATGGCCTCAGGCTTTGATCTCAGCTGTGACAGGACTTGAGATACGATAGCTGGAAGCACACAAAAGCTGGGACCCACCATTGAACGCTAGGAAAAATACTTTGGCCTGATAATGATGTTGACGACTTAATTTTAAATTATCCACAAAAGCAAAACATTGCTCTTAATCTTCTCCATGAAGATACCTGTCTGTACTTCCGATGTGACTCAGATTCAGCGGGGATGGGGAGCAGATGGGAGGAGCTGATGACAGCTTAGGACAAGCTGGTCTGAAGGAACTGAGCTTCCCTAGAAATTTGGCAAGAAAGACCGCAGAAAGCATAAAGAAAAGAAAGGATGTAAATGCGGCTTGAGAAATGTTTATGGTCAGAATTAAGTAGGCAAGCATTAGTCAAATGGGTGGGAGAAAAAAGGGAAAGATGCCGAACAGCTTTGAAAGAGAAGGGCTTCTGAGTGTTGAAGACAGGGAGCTGTGCACATGAGCAGCTGGTAGGGGTAGGAAGAGCACCAATGGTGTAACGCAGCACCTTTGGTTTTGTTGTGGATAAACCTCAAACTTCGCTCCCAGGACAGCAGGCAGCGAAGTGACACCCAACTTAAAAACCAGTGCACCCAAAGGCTACCTCATAAGCAGGGTATGGGCATGAGTGAACTGAAAACAGGTTTGCAGTCTGCTGTGCACAGGCAGAATCGCAGTGGAAAGATCAACAGAGAGGAATATTCCCTGCTGCTCCTGGCGTCTGTATTATAGACCATGGCTGGCTGCATGCACAAGCAAAGTGGGCTGCCACCTGGAGGGCTGGTTGCCTGCTCTGCTTATATTAGAGGCAATGGGTTTTGACATGTTCCTCTCTATAGCCAAGCTCTCCCTCCAGCCCTTTGCTGATGGAGGGACTGGTGTGGGTGGGTGGCAGCTCTTCCTGTGAGCGAGGGACTAGCATCGGCTCTCCTAGCAGCAGCAGTAGTCACTGCTCTGCCTGTGTCCCCGCCTGGGCTGCAGGAACAGTAAGTTGTGGTCTTCAGAGCTGCCCACTGGTCTCTACCTCAGCCAGTCCTCTGCATGCGGCAATGGCCAGGGAGAGGTGGAGTGAAGAGGAGCAGGTGAAGCTGGGAGGAGCAGAATCTCTTGATTCTTCTCAGAGTCCCTCTGAAATATCTGCTGACCTCCAAACCTGCACTTGCTTCTGTCCATATTCTGATTAACTGTCAGTCAACTCAGTGCTACACCAAGCCTTTGCTTAGGTACCACCTCTGACTGCTCAGCTCTTTCTGCTGTCTCCCAGACTGTCCTTCTCTCCCTTCCTCAGACCTCTTGGCTACAGCCCTAAACCAAGGTTTTTCTGAGAAGCAAAAGTTCTGTTGTGAAAGATTCTTCCGTAGAGGCACTGGTATCAGGCAAGGTGCCAATGTATCTTCCTCTTCCAAGTGACATTTTTGTGGCATTTGTGTACAAAGGGCAAAAGCAAGGGTTAATGCTCTGACAGGCTGAGGGCAATGGATTAAGAATATATTGTATCTGCAACTAAACAGATCTTCCTCTATCCTCCTCTGTTATTATTATGGTTGTTATTACAGTGATTTGTAGGGCATCTAAGTGAAGTTCATCCAGAATATCAATGCCTGAAATTGAGGAGGAAGGCAGAAGAAAACATTAAGATTTCCAAGTGGAGATGACCTCTGTTGCTCTTTGAGCTCAGACTATTTTTGGCAGGAGCAAAATGAAGAGAAGGCTTTCCTTGGAAAGAAGGCAATGCAGCTGCCAGCCCTGTAATTAGCCAAAAGGCCTGTGGAGTGTGGGGAGGAGGTCACAGAGCACACGGCTCCTGCCGTGGCACTGCTCAGTGCAGAATAGCGCCTGCAGGAAGGTAAAGCCTAGCCAAAGCCCAGATATTGCAGCTGATCCCATGCGAAGGCCAGAACCCTTCTTCTGGGACTAATGAGTCTGCTAATGCAGAGCGTGCACCATACAGGGTGCCCAGCGCTATAAAGTCTTCGGAGCAGGAAATGCCTAATCCTCTGTGTATGTACAGAGGACTGATCCAGCCCTTACCAAGTGCGTCCAAGCATGCTTGGAGGTAATAATTATTCAGAGTAAACTAGAACCTTGATGACCCTGAATTGCAAGGAAACTTCTGAAATATACAGTAATGGAATTAAACATTTATATCTTTGCTTAGCGTAATTGTAGAGGAAAAAGAATTACCGCAGGCAAGATTTCTCTGGCAAGCTCTGGGTCAGTGAAGCTATTGTATCTCTCTATATGTAAATTCAGACCTGCCAAGAGCCTATGTGCAAAATATTTTCTGATGATAACTGAAATTGAGCATAAGGGGTTTTTTCTGAAGAATTTTAATTTTTTTCAATTTTTCTTTTTCATACTATGTTTCTTGTCAACTAAGGAAGGTAATCAAGGAAACAATACAACAAAGTGTTTGTCAGGATTTTTACTACAAATATTTTGCCTCCATGATATTTAATAGGAAAACCACATTTAACTTTTCCTAAAGCAACACATTCATTGATAGAGCCTGGGTTTAGGATGTAAAGAGTGAGTATATTACACTCAGGAGTCACAGTGATGGACATGGGCTCCGATATCAGAGACTATAGATAAAAACCTCCTTCCCATGGCAAGATTCCTCACTTGCTGCTTTCCTCAGTGGGCAGCAGCACAGCAGTATATTTGTATACTTCCCACAAAAGCTGGATCCAGAGCCAATTCCTGGCCTGAATTTTGTCTGTTTCTAACCAAGCACAGTTTCTCTACAGAAATGAAAGCCAAGCAAACATGCAGGTAATAGGGGCAGATGTATTTCAGCCTGCTTTGCTCAAGGTGTGGAGCTTTACACCAGTTCTATGGTTTTGGGAATGGGTTTTTGGTGGTTTTTTTTTTAATTTCTTTTTGTTTCCATCCCTATTCAAGCAGTGGGGAAGTTCAGTTTCTCAAGAGCAGCTTGACTTGTAGGGTCTCAGTTCCTTGTTAGCTGATGGAGTTACACAAAGTGGAAGACTCTCCGGGACTTTAAAAAGATGATGTGTGCTTCTTGAGAGGCATTTCCCATCACTTCTGTATTGGATTTCAGAAGCATTTTAGGTAACCAATCTATTTCTCATGGGTGCCATTGTCGGTATTTTACTTCCATGTGCATGGATTTGTTTCACAGGTCCGTTTTTGTCTGACGGAGACAGCTGAGGGGGGAAAAACTTATACAGGAGAGAAGATGCAGAAGTAAGCATAATGATCTAGACAACTAAGATGTTTCCTCCATAGAATCTCACAGCTTTAGTTTTTTGGTGAGTCGGCATATTTTAAACTGCACGGGCTATGGCATGGATTGGCATAGATTTTGATAAGTCTTCATTCTCTCACTTCAAAACATTTATTTAAAAACCTTCAACATTTTTTTCTGGTCTTCACAACTTTGCTGTGATATCTGACTGGGATGCCAGATGGCCCAAAGAGATAGACATCAAACAAGTAGAGCATCCCCGCATCCAGCCCTTTGATGGTCTCTGTGGTGACGGCTCGCTGGAGATTTATATCATAGAAATACTTGCACAGCACTTTCTCCGACTTGTGCCGAGATTCAGGTCCAGAGCACCTGTCTGCACTCTGCAGTTCCATCCAGACCTGATCTTCTTCAATCTTTTTCTTGTACACGCAGTACTTGCTCTCCTCTTGTGTTCCTAGCCAGGCAATGGTGACAGAGTTGCAGGTCCTCAGTTTACTGAAGGACTTGATTTTTAAGCTCTCTGGAAGAAGTGGGAATAAGGGCTTGTGGAAATGGGGGGACACCTGTACTTTCACAGAAGAGTTAGACTCCTCTGTGGACCTCAGCTGCACCAAATATGTGTCCAGCAGCTTTCCCTTCAGTGAGAAACACCTCAGCCCTGAGATGTTCTCCAGTGCCACTGTTTTACCATTCCTTGTTATGTGTACCCGTACTTGGCCACGACACAATTGAAAGGTGAATTGTATTTTCTTGTGCCTCGCCTGGTACTGCAGACTGTAGAATTTTTGTTTTTTTCCATCCAGGACAACCTGAATCACTTTCCCATCTTTCAGCTCCGTCACCTTAGGTTCCGGTTCTTCCAGGGTTCTTGCAAATGTTCCGGTGTAAGCAGCGCTGGCATTTGTGAGGACATTGACAACAAAAACATCAAAGTAATATTGAGTGCTGGGACTGAGACTGGGCACTGTGTAAGTGTTCTTGGTACCCATGCATATTTGCCTGACTTCTCCACTACTTGCTTTGTTGATGATGCTCAGTTCACTGTTGGACAGTATCATCACTTGCTGAGGTTCAAGAAGGTATGGAGAGAGAGACAAAGCTAGTGCAGGTGGCAGTTTCATTCCAGAGGATCTGATTGCTGTCTCAGCAGCACATAAGCTCTTATAGTTGTGCTTTTCATTAACTAGAAGACAGTACTGGATGTTTTCTCTGTGTTGCAAGACAGAGGGACTGTGTTTCCAGGTCAGAGTCACTGTTGTATGCCCAATGCCAACAACATCTATGCGTGGATCCATTGGAAGCTCTGGGTAGAGGTGCCCAGATGTGTCAGTTGTTAAGTATACAGTAATGTGTGTGTCTCGCTCGGTGGATAAGAACTCTAGCAGGTAAAGGGCAGAATGGGAAGACATACCCATGTAAGTCTCTACAGAATTTCCCTTATAGTTAAATATGGTGGACACCACGCTTGGAGCCTGCTGAGATTTTGAGACCTCTTGTGTATCAGGATCACCTGCAGGCAAAAAGCAGTTTTGTAACTTTTGTTTTAACAGACATGAAGTAAAGCACATCGCATAGGTTTTATTGTTCATGTGTCAGGGAACATCCTATTTTCTTCCTGAAAACAATAATTATAACTAAAAATACTTTTTGCTACTGGTAATTTATTAAAATAAAATTTGGGTAGCTTTTATTTTAGCAGCGCAGTTGTAGAATTATGTTTTCAGAAAGAATATAATTATAAAACCACAACTTGCAAAAGCTTGACTTGTATTGTGCCTGATGTCCCTACAATTTTCTTCTTCCAATGGCTGTCTCTTTGGTGCTTTTCTTCAAGGAGACTCCTAGTTCTTACAAAAAGAGTTTTCTTTCATTTAGCTTTGTGCCACTGACTGTCCTCCGTGAAGAGGGAAAATGTATTACTTCAAAGGAATGTTATTTCAACTCCTCAGTCAGGTGTCCCTGCCTGGCAGGTAAGAACTTGTTAATGGCAGCTTTCAGGTTTTAGTTTGAAAAATTAATTCAAAAAATCATGAAAGAGAATGGAATTTCCTCTTGGGCTAAAGGCAGCATAAAGCCCACTGCCATGGTAGATGGTATTCCTAGAAAAATAAATGGCTAGATCTTCTGCACATCACTGTGGGGAGCAAAACGACTGGTTCAAGTGGCTTAAGCCACAGAAAAAGAGCTGAGACAGCAGAGGGAAGTTTGGGCCAGTACAAACAGCTTATGAAGCTGATCCGTGTTTGTGGAGCCCCAAACACCCAGTGTTGTATTACCCTGTGATTTTGTCTTTTTCAGGTGTAATCCTTAATTTACTTGAGTTGGCAGCAAAATCCCATGGGCTCCCATGTTTTGCCTATTGAGACAGGGATGTCCTCTTCAGCCCATGGCAGTTTACAGGAGAGGGAAGCATGAGATATTTAAACTCGTGGGGAATTTCCTGTAACACAGCTCCTTCTGAATAACTTCTGCTTTCCCTGTCTCTGCTCAGGCAGACTGAGGGTCTTACCTTGTGCTGCTGTTCCAAGGAAACTTGCTGAAGCCTTGTGCACAAGTACGCTCCATTCAATGGGAACATCACAGGGGGTCACTGTTATTGTGAAAGGTGCAAGGGCTCTGCCTTCCTCCAAAACAAAATAGTACCTGTAGATGTGGATTAAAACCAGAGGGAAAGTGTCAGGAAATTCAAGTCTGCCTGAGACTCCTTATAACCAGCCATTCTGATGTGGGTCACTCCACTGTGGGTAGAAATGACTGCTCCTCTTTGAGGTGCATCAACACAAGGGGATGGTGAATGTCAGAAACCTTTAGCTGTGGGAAGAATACATGCTCTGTTTTTTTTCTAATACACAAATATTTGCTGGAAGTTTTATCCACTTAACATAGGCAATATTTTTCTCACTGAATTGTAACATACTTCAGGTGAATATCATATCTCAGTACTTACCTGGTTATTTTGGATGATGGATGTGATAAACTGACTGCCTTCCAGATAACCACCCATTGGCTAACTGAGGAATTTGGTATGCTTTTTCCCAGGATTTCCTGACTGGAGTTCAGTGAAAGCTCTTGGAGCATATACTCTCTCATATGTGCTTGCATATCTAGGTGTTCCTGGGTGTCAGATGAAGTGGATATAACGAAATAGTATTAGCCAATCCTGAAGATTATTGGATGTCAATGGCAGTTTCATCCAGGCCAGTTCTAACTTACTTGCCATCATGACAGACGCTGCTGTGCTTGAGCAGTACAAAGCAACATCAGTCTACTTGGTCAGGTTTTGACTCCTGCTTATTTACAGTAAAGCCCAGCTTCCTGTCTCACTCCTCTGGTCTTCTGTTTATTTCTGTTGTTTTGGTATATATGGACTGTTTACAGCCACAGAAACATTTGGACTTGGGTCAGTCACCCTGCAGTTAAATGAAGGCAATTTGAGGTTGTTTTTGTTCATTGGTGAGACAAGCCTAGTCATTATAGACAGATCATGTCAGCCTAGAGGTCTGGCTTACTTTCAGGATATGGCTGCTGGGCCAGAGTCAAGCTTCTGTGGAAACAGCTCCACATTTTTGAGTCTTACTTTAAGCCAAAATTGTCATCTCTTGGTTTCCTATTTGGATGACTCGGGGGTTCATACGGTCCTTACCTGATCATCTGAACTGAAGGGGTTTTTGCTTCCTCATCACAATCTTAATGTTATGCCACAAGAGCATAGCAAAATTCACTTTTCTTGGAGATTTCAATACCCATTTGCCCTTAACAAGAAGAGCTCCTAGTTTTGCTCTTGTGAGCATCACCACATTATATAATGTGTCACATTCCTGTTTCTTTCTGTGCAATGCATATCGAGACTGAACCATCTGGCTCACTCTCTGCTCCATGACTACTCTGCTCGGGTGTGTATCAAAATCCGTCTGTGTTGGTCGCTGTCCAAAGTGGACTCTGATTAAACCACTTGAAGCGCGTCTCTTCTCAAACAAGCAGATCAGTCTTTGCTACCCAAGATGCAGTGCCACTTGTAATATGTAGATCACCTATATATCTAGATATGGCAGAAAACTTTGCAGGTGTTTTAGGGAAGTGAAGAATTTGTGGAATTTCTGCATGTAAAGCACTTCTGATCTTAGCAAGCTTTAGTGCCATTCAACAAAACCACTTCCAGCATGCAGGATGCTGGCAGACGCTTTCCCAATGAGAAGTCTGTGCAGATATTCTATTGATTTTGGGGATAGTTAATTTTCTAGGTAAAATTCTTGTATTTTACAGTGAATGTGGGACAGCCGACGTGTCTCTGTAGTTCTGAAGCCGGGCTGTTTACGTGACATGACTGTTTGCTGTAGGAGCCCACCCATTCTGTATCAGCTCCGCTGCTGCTCTGACACGCACCACAGAAAGCTGCCTGAAATGCATATGTGAATCTAAACTTCATCTCAGACGGTCGTTCCAGATTCTGGGCAATGTAATGACACTTGGGACGTTTCTCTGGAAATTCAGTGGGCACTGGTAGAGCTCTGCAGGTGCATGGCAGTTCTTGGCTTGTACTGGTAGTGTGCAGCTACCAGTGTCAGAGGAAGTATCTGGGAATAGGAGTAACTGATTTGCTCTTACCTTTTAGGTATATCCTTCAGCAGGTGAACTGTAGTTTCCTTACCATCAGCAAGTATCAGGGAGTGGTAGAAATTGAAGAGATCAGTCTTGAAGCTCTGTTGGGAACTGGTGGTGGGTACTTTTATGGAATGACACAAGCAAGCTGCTATGAGAAGATGGAGAGGCAGATAAAACCAGAACGAGGACATCTTCAGTACTGCAAAGTGAGATGACAAAAATGAACAGAAACTGCTGTCTTGGGGGAGAAAATAATCAGTGACCCTCTCTTTCTGTGCCTTTCCTGGTATTTATCATAATCACAGCAAGCCAGGCAGCCAAACAGCGCCAGTCTCCATTTCGCTAAATTGCTTAAAGTTCACAGAGAAATATTTCTCAGAGGATCTCTCTGCAAAGATTTAACAGCAGAAGCTGCTATGAAGTCTTTTATTATAGAAAAATATAGTCAATGTAGCACAAGTGTAATATCACAAGACAGTTATTAAAGAAACCTCACTGCTGACAAAATGAGCAGAGAGTTACATTTAAAATACTGTTCCTAGTTTATAGTGTTCATTTGATAAATTCCAAGGCTGGGTTATTTGTAATGGAGCTGTCACTTTCAAACTCACAGGAGGTCACTATATCCCAAACACTGCTTCTGCTGTTCTGTCAGAGATCATTTAACTTTTGTTTCTTCCATGAGCTACATGACTGGAGGTATGTGTAGAGAGGAGGATCAGAATTACTTATTCAGAGCACTGTAAGATACTGTTTGACAAAAAGGGGAGGATCCTGGATAAGAATCCCTAAACTGATACACAAAGAGCTTAAAATCTCTTAAGTATCTCACTTGCAGGAAGGCTTTATTACTGTAGGGCAGCTGGATAAACCATTCTGAGATTTTTTTGTATTGCCCATCCCTTTCACACCTGCATCATTTCCAGCCCATCTTGGCATTTGCTGCTCACTGGAACTGTAACAGCTCTATTGTATTCACTCTGATAAGAGATTTTTAAAAAAATAATGTATGCTCCTTCCTTTTGCCAGGAGGCTTTATTATCGGCTTTGAATCTATGAAAGAAATGTACACAAACAGTCCCAAAAATCATCTCTGCAAATGCTGACATTATTTAAACTGTGCTGTGTACATTACACAGAGCTACACAGATAGGATACTCCAGTTAGGACAAGAGATTTTGACAGTATACTACTCTGTGAGGTTATAGTTTATCCTTATGACTGTTTTGTCTGCCACATCCAGTTTCAGAAACACAGGAAAGCGCAAAAGCGGAAAGGGGATAAAAGGGAGAAGAAGGAAGGGCATAGACCTTTAATACAGGTGCCAGCTGTAGCTCAGGGATTTGGAAAGCAGAGGGAGCTCTGTGAGCAAGATTCCCTTTTTGAAGAAAAAGTAGCTTATTGCATCTTACAAGCAGCAAGGAGTAAAGCTCCTGGTTAAATCTGATTATTGACTAATGATAGAAGAGAACAAAAAAGACAAAGGCTTCATCCTTTGTAATTTTCACTCATTTCTCAGATCAGACCTTTCCTCAGATCAGACCTGCCTAAAAATGTGCAGAAGATCTTGGGCAGTGAAAAAATCTACAATTCAGCAGACCTGCTGGCCATTATAATTAAAGTGACTTTATAAAAGGACCAGCTCCTTTATAAATCCATTTCAAAAATGCACATTTAAACATAGTATTGAATACATCCGTAAACTTTTATGTACAAAATTCGTTTTCATCTGTGATTCCCAAAGTAACACACATCTTTAGTATCAGTGAGATTATTGTTGAAATTATCACTACCAGGTCATCTGAACGTCGTACTTAACATCCTCAAAGTTAGGATATTCTCTTCCTCTTCGTAATATTTCTAGCACCTGGCTGAATGTGAGATTAAACCACCATCCGAACAGGTTGAAAGAATAGTTAAGATTATTATATAAATTCCATTTTTAACATTCTTGTAACAGAGCTTTCCTTATGACTCAGAGTCACTTTGCCACTTTGTTATTCTTGTAGTCTAACTATAGATTACAGATTCAAAATATAACTCCAAATATTTTGTTTTACCTTTGACAGTGGAATCTGAGTTGCTCTGTGCTTCTGAGAGGATTAAGAAAAAGTCTTTTTGCTGCTTAAATGACAGAATCTTGCAAACCACACTGATACCATGGCAGCTCAGCTTTTCTTGTCCAGGAAAACAAACAAACCAAGCGACCGACCAACCTATAATCAGCTTATCCCAAAGAGAACATCATCCTAAGACTGATTCCACTCAATTACACAAACAATATACTCTCAGACTCTTGGAAATGTTATGCAAAAAATACTCTGCTTACCTATTGTGTTCCTGGCCAGATGATCCCCAGACCACTTGCTTTCTTTGCCGAAAAAGCATAAAGTAAAACAACATGGACTTTTCAGATCTCTGTAGACAGATGAAAACCAAAACTGTGCAACCAGTTTAACAGGACAGAACTGATTTTTCCATATGGCTCCTGAACAGACATAGTAACTAAAATGCTTGCAGCCCTTCAAGAAAAGGGGGAGGAAAAAAAAAACCCAAACCCAAAACCCAACAAAAAACCCCTAGAGTTTTGATATTTTCTTAAGTTGGGTGTCTTCAAAGGTTATTTTAAACTTGCGTAATCTTGACAAAAGTTCTGATTGTTGCTCTTTCAGTTCTAGAGTCCCTTCTGGAGGGCTGCGAAGCACGTTTGAGTGTGCTGCCTCTAGCCAGCAGGACTTTATTCCTGCACAGAGTGTCAGCCAGACTGTTAGAGCAGCCTAATCCCAGCGGTGGCTGGCCAGAGAGCAGGTCTTTGACAGAAATGCACAGTGAGGAGGAGGGGGTGAGATGGAGAGAGCAAACACTCTGTTAACCCTTGTTAGCCCTTAATACAAGCTAGCCAGGGGCACACCGATCTCCTCTAGACAACTACTTTTGCATCAGTAGCCTGATGGTCCTTCCATGGAGCATGCCATCTCCTTGCCCACAGCACTGCAGGAGTTTCAGAGTTTCAGGCGTACCGTGTTTCTGGTGTGTTTTTTATGGCCCAACAGGTGCTGACTGGCTCGCAGAAGGGAAGGCAGAAAAGCTGTAAGGGAGGGAACGCTCTGCATTTTTTAAGCAGACTGGAATTAGCAGCCCTTTGAAGACTGTCAGGAATCTATTGAATAGAGCTGAGCAGATTTCTTGGCTTGCAGAGGCTGTGTAAGAAAGAAACTCCAAAAGTGTATGGGCTGGGGGAGTATTTCTTGTGTGAAAGTATTGTGGCCGAGCAAGCAGGCAGGAAAAGGGTGCATGGGAAACGGCTCACAGCAAGCACAAACAATTGCTTCTGCAGTTGGGGCTACAAAGCAGTTGTAGCAAAGCCATGGTCCTGAAAGGGCCTGCGCCTGCTGAGCAAGAGCGGTGTATGGCCAGGGTTCGTGTGCTGCTTGTACTTCTTGGCCTCTTGGCCTGGGATATCAGGAAAGGAGCCCTGGGGTTGTCCCTGCGAGGACGTGTACTCAACTTCAAGCCTGCTCAGAAAGGCAAGCCCCAGAAATCCGCATGAGCATCTCGGCAGGCACTTTGCAGGGGGCAAAGACAGAGTATGGTAGGGAGGCTAGGCCTGTTATTTATTTTAAAATAAACTCTCTTGTTCAGTGTTTGAAGAGAGTGACTCACAGTCACCCTTTACCATTGTCCTCTTGGATCTGAACATGCATTATTTAAGCCTTCCCAAGACTAAAAGTTTGCTAAGAAGAGGGGCAGGTGAGGGAAGTAGAAAGAGGCTTCAACAGATTCTGCATAGCAGAGCCTTATGAAAATGTAAATTTGTTTATCAACTGATGTAATGGAAAGAAATATTTATAGTGTGTTTACTCTCACGGCAGAAGATGGCAGAAATAATTATGATGTTGTTCATCACACGTTTGCTAAAAATTTATTTGCAGAAAACTTTTGCTGAGCAACTGGGCTTTTAAAAAAGGGACAGCGTGTGGGAGCCTTGATACAGGCACTGTATGGTCAGAGTACTGGCACTGTTGAGCTAGGAAAGGACATTGCAAGATGTATGCTGGACAACTAGCAAAAGTAGCGTAAATAGCAAATAGGATCTTTCAGGCAAATTGTCATTCTGGTGTGAAATCCAGAACAGGTAATGTCTGGGTAACAGACATGGGAACTACTGAAAATATAAGCACCTAGCCGGAAACAAACCATTCCCCAAATGAAAGAGAAGCATGAGGAAAAGGTAAAAGGTGCTGCAAAGTCCAGTAAGTTGCCAGAGCAGGTCTGAAAGAGGGAAACGTAGGTCAGATGAGGTTCATCAAAAAATGTGCACTGAAAACAGGCCATGAGAGAAAAGATATTGGCCATAAGTGTAGGGACTACAGTGTGGTTTCGCTGAGATTTGGAGGGGCTCATGGGCAGAAGTAAGCAGGGAGAACTGTAAGGAAGTAACTGGTGGTGTTAAGTAGGAATATCTTCGGGCAGGGATCGGGAGCAGACATTGCTCACATCTGGTAAAATCCCTAGTCAATGTGGACACAGTGGACATGTTTGTCGTAGAAGGGATGGGCTCACTGTGTCATCCTCCCCAAACCTCCCCACTGCCATCAAGACAAGCCATTACCCAGGGCACAATTCAGCTTCCAGGGAAGTCAGTGAGAGTCTTTCCATCGGCCATCATTTCAGCTGTGTTAAGCCAAATGCTTGAAGGATTA